CGTTTGAGGAAAGAGACAGGTGCCAATATACTGAGGGGAGATGTGACCACCTGGCAGGTGAACATTTAGAGGCCTGCTCAGTGACATCCATCTGGGAGTTTAGGAGGCAGCAATGTCTCCTGTGTCCCAAGGTGGGTCTGTGACATGGCACCACGAAGCGCCCACTCCTGTCAGGAGGCTCACAGGTTGACATGTCCTTGTGTGGGACATCAAGCGACAGCTCCTAAGAAGAAAGGTCATTTTGTGCTCCCGCCAAAGGTCACATAAATGTGAAGTAACTTGGCGCCTCAATACTCCCTGAGCTAAAAGTGACTGCAATTTTTCACACCTGAAGGACCCGTATCTGCAATCTAGTACCGCCAAGGGGAGAAGGCAGAGTGAAGGCGAGTCCAGTGGAACTCACGGCAGGCCCCGCCTCACCTTCAGTTTTGCTGTCTTCCTCCAAACACAGCTCCACAGCTTCCGCTGCTCGGGGGCTGGTAAAAATGAGTCCTCCATAGCCTTCTGGGTGAGACAGCTGCACACCAAACAACAACGGCATTTTATATGAAGGCTAAGCTCACCACTTCCCAGAATCCCAAATGCTCAGAGGCGTAGCAGGCAAACGGATTCATTCCGTGCATTCACCCGTCCGTCCATATTATTGAGCATCTGCTCAATATTTGCGGAGAGCTGACCGAGGGCCTGGACCTATCCTAGGCCTTTAGGAATACAGGTGGATCCATTATTCCTGGCATTTCCCTCAAGCAGCTCAGTCGAGGGAGACACAGGCAGGTACAGTGAAGCGTGGTGGGTGTAACCAGGGCAGAGAGGGGCAATGGGTCTCAGCCTGGGCTTGGGCAGGGTGCCGGCAGGAGGGGAGACCTGACCTGCGTCTGCGATAGAACTTGAATATTCAAGGGGCCCTGTCCACACTGAAGCCCTGATTTTCAAAGAAAATGAGAGTGATAAGACCTGCTGAGCATTTATTCTGAGCCAGGTGCTGGGCTGTTTCATACGGACCCTTTGCTGAGTTGTCCAAGTTCCCTGTGAGGTGGGGGCACAACTCTCACCTCCTAGATTAAGCACACAGGCGTGGAGAGGCGAGTGGTGAGTGTCCCCGGGGACCCCCAAGCCCGCGCTCACTGCACAACCAGGGCCTGATGGGGGGCTCAGCAAACCCCTCGTGGAGCAGGTTGGCTGGTGCCGAGGGACAGGCTCCTGTGGGGACCTCAGGGTTTTTCTGACCACGAGGTCCTGGAAATGATCTCAAAGGATGATGTCTCTGGTTCCCCTTTAAAGCTGCTTACGGAAGAGCGTGCCAACTTGAGCCCCCTACATCGTTCCCTCTGCGCACAAAGCCAGGGCATGGGAACATGAGAAATGCCAGCTCAATGGCGGCAGGACTGAATGAAGAACTGATATCCGCTCAACGCGAAAGAAGAAAACAGGAAGCTTCCCAAAGAGTGATGGGCATGCCTGTGACGTGCAGAGCACGAGGGTGAACCTGGTGCTAATGCGCCGTGGAGCCCAGTGAGCAGGACCAGGCACCCTGGTTCCATGAAAGCACCCTGGCTCCTGGCCCACTGTCCAGAAAGGAGCTCCTGGGGAGAGACCCTGAGGTGTCTGGGTGCACAGTGGTGGGGTTGCCTGGGCACTGACTCTTTACCCTGAAATAACTGAAAGGCTTTACTGGGATCGTCCCTGGTGATATGATCACTCCCACACCTGGCCACAGAGCTGATGCTGTAGGGAGACTGCCTCTTACTTGCTGGAGGCCTCCGCCGAGTTGCCCAACCTGGGACCTCAATCTCTAACACGGGAAAACCAACACCTGTGCGGCCACTTTGCACAGGTCGGGCAGGGTGGGCTAACAGAGAGGATGAATATGAAAGGTCTGCACTGCTGAGAATGGTGCAGGGCTGGTGCCCTCCCCACGACCTGCTCTCCTGGGCCTCCTCACAAAACCCCTCCTCCAAGCCAGGGCGGCTTTTTGGTGGAGCTGATGGAGGCTCAGGCAGAGAACCCAACAGCAGCTGAACCCTGGAGCCAGGTGAGGCTGTGCTGCCATTTTGAAGTTTGGTACTGAAATCAGGGAAGTAAGAAAATTTTTCTGGCTTAGGTTGGCGCGGATTCTCAGAAACCAAATGTGTCACACTTAGAAATTACAGTGCTCAGACACTGACGGACCTTACCTTCTCCGAGAAACTGGGAAGAGACAAAAACTCAAATGATAAAACAGGGATCAAAGTGGCTTCAAGTCCATATAATCCTAATTCCTGCAAATAAAAGAATATAGTT